AGAATTCTATCTTCCCACTCTTGACTCCCTTCAATAGCTCCTGCTTGCACAAAATCTGCAGTGACTTTTCACATGTGTGTCCTAATCTGTAGTGCCAAAGTTTGCTCGCGTCCGTCTCTGAAACATCAGAAGCTACCTGACCAATCTCGGTACTTCCCTTCAGATAATATAAATTCTTACTGTTGACTCCCTTCATCACTACCAAAGATCCATTAGTAACTTTTTCTATAACACTCTCAAAAGTCACCTTGAATCACTTTGTCTCCAAAGCTCCAACGAAAATAAGATTCTTCTTCAACTGAGGAACAAATCTCACTTTATTCAGCTCACGAATAACTTCATCGTGCATCCGAATCCTAACGGTACCTATCCCACAAATACTACAGGATTGATCATTTCCCATGAGTACCACACCCCCATCGATCTGTTCGAAAGATGCAAACCAATCTCGTCGGGGAGTCACATAATAAGTAGCATCAGAATCCAACATCTAATCTGATGCATCCGCATGGTTAACCTCTGGAGTAATCAATAGAGAAAAGCATGAATCGTCGGAATCGTTACCATTCTTGGCAACATTCATCTTATTGGTCTTCGGGCTCTTCTTTTTGCTATTCTCCTTCTCTTTAAGTTTCGGGCAATTTCTCTTCCAATATCCTTGTTCTTTGTAAAAAGCACATTGGTTCTTTGCTAATTAGTAGTGGCCCATTGACTTTGACCTACGTCGATTATCACCTCTCGGATAAGGACTCCTTCCTCTCGTCGACAATGTCTCTCCTGAAGTGCTAGCTCTGAAAGTCTCTTTGTCTTTTCTCCTCAGATCGTAATTCGTCAACGCATTAATTACTTCACTATAGGTGATGGAAGACCTATGTTCAACAAAGTGAGCACGAATGTATCATATTCCTCATCAGGTAAGAAGCCTAACAAAATAATCGTCTTGTACTCATCTGATATCTTCTCATCCACGTTTGTCAAGTCTGACAATAACTTTGTGTAGTTATTCACATGAGCCGCAAGTGAAGTACCACTGGACATCGGGAATCTGAACAATCTTCGTAGCAAGTGTAAACGGTTCTCAACACTCTTCGTAAGATATTTGTTGTTGAGAATCTCCCACATCTTTATCGCAGACGTCACGCCAATCACATCATATTTCAGCTCTTGTTTCAAACAAGAGTTGATCACCCCACAAGCGTTTCGATTCATCTTGTCTCATATCGTCTCATCATATTTCGATGGTCTCTCATGGGCGATGATAGTCTCTTCTAAATTTTAAGCATTCAGAGCGTCCTGCACGTTGCTCATCTACAAATCAAAATTAATTTTGTTGTCATGCTTCACAACACTAATCTTTGCATTCTGAAGTGCAACTTGAACTGTACTCGTCATCGGCTTACTGCTTTTACCAACTTCTTCTCCCATTGCAAACTGACTCCAATTGTAAAGAAAGACTCGAACTTTGATAGAATTAAGAAATTACCCAACTGGACCCTAAGATAGGATTCCAACACAATCTCCTAACCACATGAGGAAAGCGAGCTCTCCAATGGCAACTCCACAACGCTATCTCCATCGAAGCTTAGATCTTCAATATCCAAGCTTCTAACTGTGAATCTTCCTCCACCCAATGCAAAACTCTAGATTTAAAATCTGATCTCTGATACCAATTGTTGAGCGTCGCAGAAGCGTACTCGCAAACCAAACGAGTCGATGAGCGATGAGAGAAGAACCAAACATGAGTGTAATTCCCAAATAAAGGCTAAAATCCAACATAAACATAGAGATTTACATGGTTCGACAATTGCCTACGTCCATGGGGAGAGGATGGGGAGATTTCACTATATGGAGGAGAAATACAATGGGTTATAATTCACAAACTCTCAAATATAACCCTAACCAAAGATCTCAACTCACACACAATATCTCCCTCTCAAAGTGTTCAAAAGACTCAATCTCTCCTCTATTAACCTTAGAAATCGTGTTTGTATTTATATCAAACACCAAATCAAAACCGAACAGGAAACCAAAATAGCCCAGGAAACCCGACATCGGTCGGCTGATGTGAAACATCGGTCGACTGATAATATGCACAAAAAACTGCTCACGGTTCTATCAGTTGACTGATAGGATTATCAATTGACTGAACGGACGGCGCAGAAACTTTTTCACAATTCCAAGGCTTTTTTTCAGTCGACTGATCTTGGCATCAGTCGACTGATGACACTGTTCACCGAAAACCCGGTTTTTCAAACACAGCCTCAACCTCACCCATGAGCCTTTTACCCCCGAGCCTTTTAGAACTTGAAATCATCCCTTTTAGTCTTGACTAGTGCACAAATTTATTGTTCAGTTAAAATTTAAGACATACACTAGTTATACTTAGATCAATGATGCCTCAATTGTCCTATTAATTTAGCAATTGCAGCTGGTGTTAACTCCATAAAATTGTGATGGCTTCTTATCTCTTTTCTTTTGATATATATTTTCGAACATAGTTGTTGCCCATGAATATAGTTAATATTATGGTAATTAACATGCAAGAGTTACTTTACTCTACTCCAACAACGACGCACGACGAGTGTCGGTCCCTACCCAGGCTTTTGCTATTTGTAAGCTTTGATCCAACCAATTTGTTGCATTTTTTTATTTCTTATTTTTCTTCTTATTGCTTAAGTTTACTTCTCTTCATTGTTTCCCTTGTTATGTCATAAGTCACATATCTTAACAACTATCTTTTATAAATTTAAATTTTCTAGTGGTTTACTAGTGTTGAGAGAATATTTTCAGCAATAAGTATTGTGAAAACTCCTATTTTAATTGTATGGAGGATTAATGGATTAATTTAAAAAAATACTATCATAATGATGCAATTATGCAACAATTTTGGTACATGGAAAATCATTGGGGTAGTTTGTTACTTTCAGTTTCAAGTTTGATGTCGTTAATTTTTGGGAGTTGGTTGTATTAATTTTAATTGTACTTTTGAAATTAGGAGTACTTTTTTGTAAAAAATTATTTCATATATAATATTTGGTTGGGATTTTCAAGCTCGAGACCATATCCTCTCTCAAAAAGTTTGATATGATCGAATGTAACTATATATATATATGAGAAAACGGGAAGGAGGGGATTTCGCCGGCGCTCGCTTGGGAAAGGAGGGGATTTCGCCGGCGCTCGCTTGGGGAAGGAGGGCAGCGGGATTTGGGAAGGAGGGCTGGGTTTTGTTGCATAATTAGGAAAGGAAGATATTAATGAGGAGAGATTTGTGTTTTTTACATCTAGGTCATTTACTTTGATTAAATTTAACCACTCAAAAATCAGTTATTTCTATAAATGAGTATCCAACGAAACAAGGTATTAACAACATCCTACGCTGGCAGCTCACCTCTCGTTCTCTCTCTCTCTCTCTATCTCTCTCTCTCTCTTATATATATATATATATATATATATATATATATATATATATATATATATTATATATATATTATATATATATATATATATATATAATATAAATATATTATATAGATTAATGGGTATCCTTGTCATAGGAGGGATTTCCTCCTATGACGTTTCTAATCACATGATTGAGCGACATTGTGGATGATCAACTCCGTTGAACTTGATCTACATATTCTAAACCCCAACACACCAGAGTTTGGGGTGAACCTGTCGTCGTTTGACCATTCATCCACTCGTATCAATTTTAACGGTTTTGAATGAATAGAACTTTTCACATTGCTCGATGGAGGGTCAAACGACGACGAATTCACCCAAACTTTGTGTGTTGGGGTTTTAGAATATGTAGATCAAGTTCAACGGAGTGGATCTCACACAAATGTCGCTCAATCATGCTGATTTTAGAGGCGTCATAGGAGGAAATCCCTCCTATGACAAGGATACCGATTAATCTCATAATACTATATTACTAATATATATATATATATATAATTGTTTTGCTTTCTTTTTTTAAGAGAAGAATCAAGAGTGACCCCAATACCCCAAGTCATGGCTTCGCCACTGCCTATGTGCTCAAAATGCTGCATTGATCTCTCCTCCTTTAATATCTATTCTTTTTCTTTTCAGTAAAAACGTTAATTAATAGTAGATGCACCCCTTGTACTATGGAGGTGTAGGCGGGTGGATCTACAAAATGTCCAGTGATAGTTTTATTTGATTTTACATGTATTTATTTCTTGCAACACCACTACAATTAGATAGCACACCTGTATTAAGGATAAAGTCGTCAATGTAGTTAATCTAATAAGTTATATGGGGACACCGGTCTTACATAATCCTAGATTCCGCCACTGGGTGTGGCTATTGTCTCACTCCTGTTCTATTTTATTTGCACATATACTCCACAGTGACGGCGTTACTTTTCCATTAGATTTGCACCCACGGAAATCACATGATGGCCAGAGTCAGACCTTTGATGAGAGCCTCCCTGCATGATTCAAATGGGAGTTTCAAAACTGACAAACAGTAGCATCGTCACCTTGGACAGGGGTGTATGTGCTATTAAAATGGAACATTGATGATAAACAGATTCAGCCTCTGTAACCTATTTATGAAAGGGTTAATTGTACAGACCCCATATTGTATCATTGCAGCTTACTACCCTTGCAGTTTCATTGTAGCAGACAGACCCCCCCCCTCCCCGGCCCGGGGGTGGGGAGTGGGGTCCGCTTTTACCCTTTAGATGTATCTGTTAAAATTTAACCAAAGGTAAAAGGGTCAGATAAGAAATAAAAATCAACCCAGGGGATTTATTTGCAACGATGGAAGTACAGGGTAGTATGTTCAACAAAACAATACTACAGGAGATGTACGTGCAAGTAACCTTTTATGAATTGCTAGAAACTTAAGATGTACCTACATCTAACCTGTTCTTTTGCCATTTTTCTTTGTACTTATCTTTGTTAACTTAACTCTCGTCTATTTAACATTTTATATTATATGTCAATACCTCATAAAAATTTATAACTTATTGTCAGGTGTTTCCCTAACGGTATCGACATATACTTTGAGAATGTTGGAGGCAAAATGCTTGACGCCGTACTCCTAAACATGAGAAATCATGGACGCATCGCTGTTTGTGGACTGATATCACAGTACAACCTCACACAGCGTGAAGGTAACCACAACCTCTTCTGCATCGTTACAAAGCGAATAAAGATGCAAGGGTTTATTGAACCAGATCACAAGCATTTGTATCCTCAGTTCTTGGAGCTTGCAATTCGGTACATAAGAGAAGGGAAGCTTGTGTATGTTGAGGATATCGCCGAAGGGATAGAGAAGGCTCCTGCTGCTCTTATTGGATTGTACGAGGGTCGAAATGTTGGTAAACAAGTTGTTCTTGTTGCCAAAGAGTAAAACTGGGGATATGATGTTTGCTGTGTCTGTATGACAATGATACTAAAGTATGTTTTCAAGAATTTAGATTAGTATCTGTGAGTGGAGATTAAGTGTTATGGTCAATAAGAAATTTTTCTGCAAACTCCTTTCAGTGTGTTGTATTATTGTGCATTCCCATGTGATTTTTTGTCTTCTTGTAGGAAGTTTAGGGCTAACTCAAAATGTTCTCTTCCATGACGTACTGTCACGCTTGTTCCCCCCCCCCCCCCACCCCCCACACACACACACACAAATAAAAGACCTAAACTTTGGAGGATTATCTAAATAACTTTGAAAATATGGGGAAATCGCCTTAAGTTTAGGATTATTAAAAACCCATTTAATTTTAAGATTTTATCGGAACCCCCCCTAAAAGCGATGGTTTTAGATGGTTTTTTTGATAAAACCTCAAAGTTAACGGGGTTTCTAATAATATCTTAAAGGGGGTTTTCTGATAATCCCTATACCTAAATGGGGGTTTTCTCATATTTTAAAAGTTATGGGGTTATCTGATAATTGTTCAAAGTTAAGGGGCATTTTTTGATGTTTAGCCTAATTTATTTATTTTTTGTAAAAACCCTTCTAGTATGCTGTGCTTTTATGCATCCCACAAATCCCTTCGGTGATAATAAGAACAGATATGCATGTATCAGTGAAAAATGTCTACTTTTCCGTGTCATGTTACAAGGAAGCTTGTCCATTTCTCTTGTATGGTAGGCGAAAAATTCCGAAATACAACCATAGTTGTAATTTATAAAAACAACTCATGTTATGATTTGTAAATAACACTTGCCGTTCTAATTATTTGTTTAATTTTGATTGTAACATTTTTGCCACTTATTACCCCCTCAAATTTGATTTTGGAAGACAAATCCTCATAAAATATATGTCATTAAGAATTTGTGACAGATGGATCTCTCCCTTCTTTAGTGTCTACTTCATCTCCATCATACATCTTATCGAAAACAATGCATAGTCCAACACAGAAGAAATATGAAGAGTGTGGATGACGTTCAAATGTTTAAGGGGTGATAAGTTCTACATGGACGTAGTGCAGGATGCATGTGCGCAATTAATACTTAATTTTAGCTCATATTTGCATCCTTTAACAAGGGGCCTATTTAATTGTCTAGGTAATAATAAAAAAGAAAAATTTCTCAAGGATCTAAAATATGGGATCAACAGTGGGGCATGTGAGGTGTCCACCTCCTATTGTATAATGAGTTAGTTCTAAAAAAAGTGTTACTCTCTCATTCATTTTGCTTTTATCTAATTCGGTTCTTATCCTACAACCAAGATATATAGAGGGCAACGTGACGCTCTCCGGTTGGATAATGTGAATCATAGTTCGAAAATCCATATTATGGATTTTTTTTTTTTGCGTAAATAAATCAACCGAATCGACCCCAAAATAGGAAAAGACTTGGAAAATATTTGCTATTGAGCCCATAATCAGAATACAGGTGTGAAAAGAACGAAAATAAGTGCACAAGAAGTGTGGAAAGAAAAACGAGAAGTGCAGCGGTATTGCGTTCTAACCTACCTAGTCGTCGTGGGACCCACCTTGACGTCTTGACTGATCAACTGCAGTCAAGCAAGTGAACCGGAGACCAAGGAAGGAGCCGGCAGACGAGGACACGTGGAGAAGTATGACTAGCTGTATGCTGTTTCTGCGAATAGTTGATCTTTATTGTAACTGTACCCTCTTAATTACGCTTTCAGCCCTGACATGGAAGCTTCACAAAACGAAAAATGGATGACAAGGACTCTCGGATTTTGTTCGCTAGCCGCCATATTATTGGTCAACTTCCAATATTTTACATATTGGTCCTTTGTACAATTTATGAATGAATTAATGGTAAAAAAAATTGTTGGCAACTCTTAATTAATTTTACTCTGATGCATGTGATATGCTAACATAAATAAGAGATATACACCTAAGAGTTTCCAGTCGAGTTGATAAGATGTCTATGAGTAATATTTTATAGTATCAGATTTGATTCTCTTAAAATGCACCCAAAGAAAATTAATTTCTTAGACTACGCGAGGCATTGTGTTGGGGGTACCCTTTAGCCATGCTATGTATGGGGGCTTGATACCCATGGTCCAAAAGAT